GGGGGGGGGGGGGGGGGGGGGGGGGGGGCCCGAGTGTTGCCGCCAGCACGAGAGCAGGGCCAGGAGGGGGCACGTGGCGGGGTTGGGAAGGACTGCTCCTACCGACTGGTTGTTCGTGCCCTGGGTCGGCAGGAGAGCGTGGCTCGGGTTGACTCTGAGCCGTGGGCTGCCTGCCGTCTGCTGGGTTGTAGAGGGAGACAGCCCAGCCGTGGATTGTGGAGTAAACCACTGCGACCAGTTTCTCCCCCTCAGCACAGCTGACATTTGGGGCCAGGTCATTGTTTGTTGTGGGGCCGTCCTGTGCACTGATGCATGTTCAGTAGAAGCCCCGCCTCCACCCACTAGATGCCAGCGGCGCCCCACCCCCGGCCGTGACAACCACACACGTCTCCAGATGTCTGCAGGGGCCAGCGCACGAGGGCCCTTCCTGTGGGGAGCCACTTGGCCCTATGTGGAGAATCTTAGACTTTTCTAGAAGGGCTGTGGTCACCTGCTCCAAACCCCTCTTTTTTCAGAATGGGAACAGGCCCAGAGAGAGGATGCAAGTCGGCCAGGGTGATAGTGCGTTGGCAGTGGAGTGAGTTCTGGAACTTGGGCTTCCTGGCCCCTGCCTGACGCTCCTCCGCTTGTCCCGCAGCGGCTGCTGGGCGAGGGGGGCACGAAGGGCTGCGGCCCAGAGCCGCAGGACCCGGCACGAGACGTGTATCCACTTGGGGGCTGTGCCCTCACCTGCGAACAGAACGATACAGCCAATGTTAGCCACCCCTGGCCCACCCGCCCCGGCCCTTGGCAGGCAGGTGACCATGGGGCCCCGACACCTCACCGAGCTCTAGGATGGAATGACAGCCTCCACCTTGCAAGCTCTTTGTGGAGGTGCAAGTGCCCGGCTCATAGCAGCCCTGCAAACACGGGTTGCCTTTGCCCGCGCTTCTTAGTGGGCAGGTCAGACTCTCCTTACGTCGCGGAGAGACAAAGATGTGTAGCAGACAGAGAACGCTTTTGGAGATGAGAGCTCTTTTCCTTAGTGACACCAGGGCCTGTGTGATAGTTTAACATTTAGAGCACATCTTCATATAGGACATCTCATTTGGTCCTGGCCAGATGCCTGTGAGGGCAGGCAGGCGGGAGTCTCTGTTCTCAGTTTGTAAGTGGAGGACGGAAGCTCGGAGAGGCCGAGCGTGTGATGTGTGGGCGGCCACAGACCTGACTTGACTCGGGGTTGGCTGACCCCAAATCCTGCACTGTTAAGAGCCGTCATCACCCAGCAGGTATAAGGAAATCGTACTCTGTTTAGCCAAGGCCAGATGTGTTAGAACAGGAGCCTTCCGGCGACTCTGAACACAGACCTCGACCTCGTTACAAGCCAGACCTCACGGCCGTCCTCCCTCCCTGCAGGGTTTGCCTGGCCGAGGTGTACCAGGATAAAGCACTTGTCGGGGACTTCATGAATCGAAAGGGCGACTACGAAGACCCAAAGGTAGGCCCCCCTGGGTCATCAGGCTCAGCCTGCCCTGAGGGCAGGGGTCTCTGGGTTCCCGTCTCATCCTGTGGGTCCCGCAGCGCCTCCGCTGGCCTTACAACGTGGCCAGCTTACATACATACAAAGATCGGCTCCTTAGTTCTGTGGCTTTGGCCCCCGTTTGATGTGGCTCTAGCACCAGTTCTCAAAAGTGGTTAGAATCTGACACGCCACTTTGCAGTTGGGCCTGTTTCGTTAAGAAAACAGGGCTGCTCTTCGGAAAGTCCAAACCGCTGGACTCCCTGGAAAGTTAGCAGACAGGACGGGGCCTGAGTTTTCTGGATACTTTGTGGGCGGGCTGGGCCGGTGGCTGACAGGAGTGAAGCCATCTTTCCAGACCCAGATTCCCTGCCCTGTGGCTCAGAGTCTCCTCATCCCCCGCTCGCCGAGCCAGCCCCGGGCTCTGTGCACGTGTGTCAGGCCTGGCGCCGGGCGAGGCCGGTCACAGCAGAGACCCAGCCCTTCTCAGGGAGCCCGGGGCAGTGGACAGGCAGAGAAGTGACTCTTCAGAGCAGTGCAGTCACCCGAGGGGAAAGCCCAGGCCAGCTGAGGTCGCACAGGGAGTACTGAGTGCTTTTGGTGCAGATGACGAAATACAATCACCCCACGGGGCTTCCAGCTGTTTCTCCCACGTGCCCAGCACCTCAGAAGAGGGCAGCCCTGTGCGGGCACAGCAAAGCAGAGATGTGATCAAGGCCCCACGTTCAGTCTGTCACTCGCTCCTGGTCCCTGATGGTCAGTGTTCATCCTCATACTGGCCACCTCGTGGTTGCCCCCTGACAGGTGGAGCTCCGTCCTCACCCCAGAATCCCAGGGCAGGAAGGATGGGGAGAGGGTGGCATTGGACCCTGGGATCAGGGAGGGGCCAGCCTTGCCCAGAGGCCCCTGAGGTTGCTGTCGTTGGTTTAGATTCATCTTGACTCCTCCTGGGAGGCTGGGCCAATCAGATCGGGGCTGGCTCCAGGCTGAGAATGAATGGGGCCCCGGAAATGGGCTGCCAGCAGCGTCAACTGCAGAGGGCTTCCGAAGGTGTTAGCACTTTGCTTAGACTCCAAAGATGAGGGACCCACTGAGACAGAGGCAGCAAAGGAAGGGGGAACAGGGCGCTGGGGAGGGGGCCACAGTTGGGCAGGAGCATGCCCTCCTCCTGCAGCATGGGACAGCTTGCCCCCTGGGGGACGGATTAGAGGTGAGGCAGCGGGGAGAGTGATCTGTGCCCTAGTCTGGACTGGGCTGGGTGCAGCACAGAGAGGGAGGGAGCCATTTGGGGTCCACGGTTGAGGGCGGGACGGGAGGAGGAGGAGGCCGAGGCCTCTGTGCTCAGGGTGAGCCAGAGAGGAACAGAGCTGAGAAGGGCGAGGCGGCAGGGGAGCGCGGGCCGGGCCAGCTGATAGGTGGCGCGCAGCCATGGGAGGCTGCAGGGATAGCGTGGGACACACTTGGGCCTTCCTGGGGCCTGGGGCAGAGCTGGCAGTGCAGGAGTGAGGGCTGGCAGCGTGTTCCTTGCCCGAAATCCCTGGGCCCAGTGGGGTCTGTCACCTTCCCAGGTGGATTCAGCAGGCTCAGGAGGCAGGAAGGCAGAGGAGGTTACGGTTCTCAGTCCACGTTTCCGGGGGGTCGCTGCTGGGAATTTGTGACAAGATTTCCCTTGACGTATCAGCAAAACCTCCCTTCAGGGAGAGAAACGGCTTAATCTCATTCTCTCATCTTGAAAGGTTTGTGCCAATGAGTACAAAGAATTTGTGGAGAAGCTCAAGGAGAAGTTCAGTTCAGCCCTGAAGAATCCTAATCTTGAAACCCCAGACACACTCCAGGAGCTGTTTGCCAGGTAAGGTTCTTCTGGGAAGTTTCTGTGTGACTCATGGGGCAAGAGGAAGAGTCACCGGCCACGGACATCTCCCCTGGTCAACAGTTCCACGGCCTTGCGGCTGACCTGGCTGTGTCCCCGGAATCCGAACCAGCTCGCCTCCTCTCGTGGGCAGCTTGAAAAAGGAGAGGCCAGTGCCATCCCCAGCACCCCACCGGGCGCCCCCATTCCTTCTCCCACAGAGGCCCTGCTACTGACTTAATCCAGGCTTCCCCGCGCACCGGGTGTGCTTTTACTAAGATTGCTCACTTGACCTAGGAGGACACTCCAGGATAGAAGTAGCCCTCCCGAGGCGGCAGCGCTTGTGACCCACAGGGCCAGGGTTTGAACTTCCACGGTGGGCCTGATTCCAGAGCCCCAGCTCTTTCCCGTTCGGCCGCTGGGCGCCTGGAGAACATACTTGGGTCCAAGCACAGAACCTGTGAAATGTTTTAAGTCTTGAGTTCTGTGATCCAGGCCTGTTGCCACTGCCTAATTCACCTGTGAATCCCTTCTTACCAGCCCCATCGGGCGGTCCCTCTGGCCACTAGATGTCTGAATTTCTTCCAGTAGAGAGGACGTTCATCTGTTGGTTCCTGTTTGGGAACCCTAGGACATGGTTGCATTTAGCCCCAACAGCTTCATCGGGAGATCTCGATCTTCCATTCGTCCAACAGACAATTTACGTGGTGCCCGCGTATACCAGCGAGCGATTTGTAGTTGTTTTCAGAGTTCACATCAGTGCCTTCTTTTGTGTTTGGGGCTCGTTTTTGCAGAGTTCCCCAGAACTCTCAAAGGGCATGGTTTATGTTCAGTGTTAAAGGTGTTTCAAATAGCCCGCATATTTTCAGTAAATTTACGAGGCAACTTTTAGTTATAAAAAAAATACGGTTAAAATAAAGCCTTTTTACTTTTTAAAGGAGAGTTCATGAACCATCTGGAGGAAGGAAGAAGTCCCTCCCAGTTGTAACAGTTTAACACTAAATTTGATCTGGAGCATTCTGGCAGGACAGGCAAAAAAGAAAATGGATCCAAATACTTTGACTGAAACCAGTTCACATTTCCTGTTAACTAAATTTTAGTTAGGAAGAATTTACTGTTGCCAAGACAAATTTTGACTTTAGAATTATAGAAGCCAAAGAAATGTCTTGCGAATGAACAGCCATTATTTTTTTCAAGTGAGTTCTGCGATTTTGTCTTACATTGAATTGCCTGGCTCTGTAATGCAACGGCTGGCACATTGGGCTTCTCTTCTTGTATTTGTTTGCTTGGTAGGAGCACAAACAACATGACTTGAAGCTCAGAAACACAGATGGGGACATAGCCTGCTATCTAATGCAGCTACTCCCTCCTTTGAGATATTTTCTTCCAGACATCTTTCTCATGCTTGTTTTTAATCCTGATGGGCCCACGATTTTAGATCCCCTTCCCTTGACAATTAGCGGTGGCTCTCTGCCAATAGGCACTTTTCCGTGTTGTTTCATAATTGTCCATAAATGAACACTCCTCATTTTCTCAACCCTCTTTTTACCAGCGCGCTCGTTTGATGAGCGGAGTATGGTATTTTCTCATTGTAATTGACACGTATGTGTTTGAATGTTAACGAGTTTCACATTTTCTCCAGCACGGTCGCCAGCAAATGGCCACGTTGAGCAAGCATCCGCGCAGCGAAGGTCTCCTGTGTTCCACTGACATGCTCTCCTTTCGTCCCTTATGCAGATACCGAGTTTTGGCAATTGGAGACGAAAAGGATCTGACCAGGAAAGAGGATGAACTTAATAGGTAGGTACTGATTTACTGAGTGCCTTTCCCTCAGCCCATGATCCCGGCTGCCTGCGGCCTAGCACAGGAGACACCCTGGGCCCGACCTAGCCTGCCAGCCGTCTTTGAAGGTGAAGTTGTGTGCGAACGCGGCCTGTTCTGTGGGTCGTCTGTGCTAGTTTCATCCTGCAACATCAGGTCAAGTGGCTATGGGTGGCAGAGACCACACAGCCCTCGAAGACCGAAATATTTATTATCTGGCCCTTTCCGGGAAAAGCTTGTCCACCCGAGCCTCACATAGCAGTGGCTCAGCCTTAAAGTGAGTTGAGGAGACAGTTACAATTCTCAGCCCATGAGCTTTCCACGCAAAGCTCTGGTTAGAAAGCTCAGCTGGTTTTTCTCATGTTGGATAACCAAGATTCAGTTTGATTTTAGCTCTACATTTCAATGAGAAGCCTCTCCTTTTTGGAGAAAAACTTGTTGGAGGTTGGGTGAAAATGGGGCACGTGGCTGGGCCAGTCAGTGGAGCGTGCTACTCTTGATCTCATAGGTAGGTAGGTAGGTAGGTAGGTGCACTGAAAAAAATCTCAGCCCTAACTACATTTGTCAGTTGTCAATGTTTCCAGGGTACGGCACCACTTACCCACTAGACTCAAACGTTTTTTTCCTGCAAACATGGAGCAGTTAGTAAGGCTTAAAAACCACCATGTGTTTTGTTTTGGTTTATGAATAGTCTAGGCATTCATAGCACTTTCATGGGAGGCAGCACTTTTTGAAAACAAGAACTGAACCACCCAAAGTGAGCAGTGCCCGTGGCCCGCGGCCTCACGTGCTCTGCCGCCCACCCCACTGTCTTTCAGCGTGGATGACATCCACTTCCTGGTGCTCCAGAACCTGGTCCAGAGCACGCTGGCCCTCTCAGACAGCCAGATGGAGTCCTGCCGGTCGTTTCAGGTGGGTAGTGGGCACCTGGCGGCAGCTTTGTGGGAGCGCTGTGGGGCTCGCCCTGTCAGAGGCGGGAGCCGAGGGAGGCCCTCCTCGCTCATTCTCTTCTCAGCTGTGCGGTCTAGGGGGGTCCGATTTCCCCTGAGACTCGCGACCTCACTTCTTTGATCTTGGAAGTGTGGCGGCAGGATCCAGTGACCGTCCCCCCAAATCCTTCCTGTGCTGAGGTTTTCGGTCTGATGTTTAAGGCAGAAACTTAGGCAGAAGAGGAGGTGAGCCATGACAAAGGACTGAGGCAGCAATTGAGCTGTACAGCTTATCTTCTCAAATTAGAACTTCTAAATGTCGAGATACTTTGATCCCTGGAGATCACCGTGCGGGAAGCCTGCCTTTCTCTGGGCCACGAGCTTAGATCTCTCCTGAGAACGTCTTAGAACGTAATGCTGCTTTATCTTGGCTGAGTGAGGGTGGAGGGCAGGCAGGCGCTTCTCCTTGAACCCCATCCCGAGCCTGGGGAGGTGCTGGTATTAATTAGCACTCGCTACAAACAGGAAACTTGTGTTTCCCAGGGCGCGAAAAAGCAAATGCCCACGATCACACGACTCTCCGTCGACCCAGAGTCCATGTGGCTCCAGGGCCCCAGCGGAGAGGTGCTCAGAAGGACCTGCCCCCCGCCCCAAGCCAGTGCCTCCCTTGTTTTTGATGGTCACACAGGTGTATTCCAAGTGGAACCTATTCACTTTTGTATTTAACCTCCAAATCTGAAACTCAGCGCTGGTTTACGTTACCAAATCAGCCCAGTTTGGAACACGAGAGGGACAAATATAAAAAAAGGGGATGGTATTATTTCTTTCTTTTTTTTAATTTTCTTCTATTTTTTTTTTTTTTAATTTTTTTTTAACGTTTATTTTT